GATATATAAACACTAGCATCAGATGGCCAAACAGCACCATATATACAACTTAATTTGTAATTTTTTTGTTTGTTTGTTTTGGGTTTTTTTTGTCTTTTTCCTTTTTATCGGTACCAGGGATTGAACTCACGACTGCCTGCTTGCAAGGCAGGTGCTTATGCTGCTGAGCTAAATCCCCAGCCCCAATTTGTAATTTTTTAATGAGATCACTAGCCTAGAAGCTCAGGGATGTCAGAAACAAAATACATTTGTATTTCACAGGACACTTCTTTTTTTATTGTCGTTGCAGTGCTGATAAACCTAGGGCCTAACAAATGCTAGGCAAGTGTTCTACTATGGGACTATAATCCCATTCTTTTTATTTTTTACTTTGAGACAAGGACTCACTAAGCTGCCCAGGCTTGTGCTACTTTTGCCTCAGCCTTTCAAGTCACTGGGATTAAGTGTGTCACAGTGCCTGGCTAACAGAACACTTCTTGATACTTGGTAATACATAAAGGTTAGATGATATAAAGCAGCATGAGGGATTTATAACGGAATTTTATCCTAAAATGTAAATTAATTTTAACATAATGGTCTACAAATATATTGCATTGCTCTACCAGTGATGTAAAATGAAAACACAAACATCGTGTTTATCAAATGCATCAATAATATAAAGATATGAGGAATGATCAAGAGGCTAAAAAACACTATCACACTAAAATAATATGTCAGAACAAACAGGAGAACTACAGGGGAAAATGTAAAGTTTTCAATTATGTTTAAAAAACACAAATTCATGTGACTTTAGACTTTCTGAATAGTGGTATGGAGTGAATTAAAAAAGGAAGTCAAGGGGGCTGGGGATTTAGCTCAGCGGCGTAAGCGCCTGCCTTGCAAGCAGGCAGTCGTGAGTTTGATCCCTGATAAAAAGGAAAAAGGAAAAAGACAAAAAAAAAAAAAAAAAAGGAAGTCAAGATCCCCTGCACCCTATATTTTGTGTTGGTAAAATCATATCTGAGATACTGTCTTCACACCTAGAAAAACTCAAGCGACTAAATTGATGAAAAGCCTGAACTTTATTTAAAATGTCATCTAAGGAAAACTTGAAAGGGTTATTCATTCAGAAAGAGATGTCCTAATGAAACTTCAGTGTTATCAAATATTTAAAGTCTACGATATTAAAGGGGAATCAGTTTCATTGAATGTAGCTTCAGATGACAGAATTAGAACTTCTATAATGAATGGAACAGGTTATCTATGAAGGGCAGATCTCTTCCCTATGACATTCAGACACTAACAGACCATCCATCAAGGATTTCAAATATGATATGTACTTCATGAATATACTTGATTCCAGAAGAAGCTTCTGAGGGTAAGGCAACATTTAAAAATGACAACAGCACGAGGTTGTGAGTTTGATCCCCTGTACCAAAAAAATAAACAAAAATGAGAACATGTCAAGTCCCAGTTCAAGATCCTTTCAGGGAAAAGCATCTTGAGTTTGAGGCCAGCCTACACTACACACTGAGTTCAAGGCCAGACTACAGTATATAATAAGACAAAAAACAAAACAATAACAACAATCTCCCTCCAAAAAAAGTCAGTTATTTGTTTTTTGAGGGTCTTTTTCCTTTTTATCAGTACTGGGGATCGAACTCATGACTGCCTGCTTGCAAGGCAGGCGCTTATGCCGCTGAGCTAAATCCCCAGCCCCCCCCCCTTTTTTTTGAGACAGGGTCTTCCTATGTAGTTCAAGCTAGCCTGAACTAACTATGCAGCCCAAGCTGGCCTTGAATTCCCAGTGATCTTCCTGCCTTAGCCTTGCAAGTACTACAATTACAGGTATGTACCACCACGCTGAGATAAAAAGCCAAAAATTAACATGTAAACATGTATATGGCAGAGAAACTTAAAAATTACTTTCTTAAATTAGGTGTGGTAGTACACTTAGTATTCTGGGACGCTGATGCAGGAAGATCTCAAATTTGGACTCATTCTGGACAATTTGGCAAGGTTCTCTCTCAAAATAAAAAATAAATAAATAAATAAATTTTTAAAAAGGGGTGGGGCTATAGCTCAGCATGAAGGCCTTGGGTTCAACATCTAGTACCATGGGCCAGCAATGTAGCTCAGCAGCCAGCAAGCGCAAGACCCTGAATCTGATTCCTGGTACAAAAAAAAACAGTACCAGAAAAAACAAAAATATTTTCTTTGACATGTTTTTAATCTTGATAGGAGCCAGGAATGTGGCAGAATATGCCTATAACCCCAGCATCCGGGAGGCTGAGGCAGAAGAATCACCAAGAGTTCCAGGCCAGGCTGAACTACATGGTGAAACCCTCTCTCAAAAAACTAAAAATAGAACACTTTTTCATGAGTTTCAAAGTCAGAACCTTTCAGGGAAACTAACAACAAATGAAATTAATACTTTCCGGTTTTAGTAAATGTTCTTTCTTTATTGTTTTTTTTTTAAAGACATGTCTGCCCCTTAACTTTAGTACCTTTATCAACAGGATAGAGGACAATTAATTATGTTGCAGCCTGCTAACTGCTCCCAGGAACAGAGGTACCTTTTCTTGGCACTCACATGGCAGTGCTACTGACTCCAACTAAAATTTCCTTGCAAGGAGAAGGCTCCTCCTTATCAGACATGGATAAGAGGCTATGGTAACACTGACTATCATCCACTGTAGCTTAGGACAATTTAGTCTTAACATGCACAAAACAATAACTTCAGAGCAGCTGTGTTCAGCCAGAGAGAGCCAAGGAATTTACTCCAGGCAAAGCAGTTACTTAAGAGTTGGTTGAAATAATAATTTTCATTTGGGTCATAAGTGAGGAGAGGAAAGAGAACAAGACACAGTAAATGGCAGCTATTAACATTTTAAAGACCCAGTAAACAGAGGTGTTTAAAAATCGTAACACTAAGGGCTGAGGATACAGCTTGGCAGCATAAGCACCTGCCTGGCAAACTCCCAGAACCAAAAAAAAAAAAAAAAAAAAAAAAAAAAAAAAAAATTACAACACTGAGCCACCAGTGTAAACTTTGATCCACAAGTTGAGAGATGTGCAGTGTTATTCTCTAGATCTCTGCTGGGTAGTAACACTAGGGAGGAAAAAAAAAAAAATCTTACACTAATATCCCCAAGTTAAAGCCCTCACAAATTGTAGACTAGAAGACCAAAACGAGGAATTGTGTTCTCTCACTGGATTTTTTTTTTTTTTTCCTTTCTGCTAGCAGGCAAACTGTGAAAGTGCTCTGAATGTCCTATAGTAATGTTTTTAATGTAAGATCCTGGAACTCAATTCAGTAGTTAATGCTAAAGGGTCAATAATTAATTGGTCTCAATGTGCTGGAGAAGCAATGTCATGTCCAAGAGTAAAGCTTGAACTGGTTGCTGAAAACTAAAGGTTAATACAAAATTACAGTCTGGTTTGTCTTCATATATTAGCTTTACTGGTATTTCAGGCATTACCCCAATTCTCAAAAGCAAAAAAAGAGAAAGAATGTAAAAAAGGAAATCTACGCAATAGCAAACAACTTATTAATTGGCTCTGTAATTCATCATTAAATGATACATAACTATTAAACAAAGGCCAGAAGCCTGTCTTTTTTCTATATAGAATGAAGAGCAAACTGGTAAGACTACTTAGCATAGCTGCCAAACTTTTCTTTAGTTTCTTTTCTTGCACACATGGTACATTTTGCAACAGCCTCCACTTACCTTACATCTCCATGTTTAAATACAAATTGTGTTTGATTTCCCCAACTTTTGCCCTAAGATATTATGATGTATCTTTAGAGTCTGGATACAAGTGAAAAAAAAAAAAAACTGAAAATATTTTCGCTTTCCTGAAATGTGTACATTTTATTTACAGTATTTAAAATATATACATAAGCCAATTAAAACTAACTGTAACCATCCATTTAATAACTTCAAAAATAAGTACAGCTACATTTAAATGAACAAACTTCATTTTAGTATATTTGTACTTACATCTATGAAAACTGACGTTTCTATACAAATTAATTACTGCAAAATTTTAAACATAGTCATCAGCTGAGCTGAAGAAAATCTGCACACCTCCACAAATCTACACTCAATGTGACAGGACCCCAAGAGGATGCTAAAACACCCTCTGTTAAGTAGAAAACAAACTTTTAAAGTTGGGTAAGTAGCAACGAGGGAATCTGGGCTGGAGGTTCCCTGGGCAGTAAATACACCAGTGAGACAAAATAACAAGCAATTCAGAGCAACACCTAAGTCCCTTTGGGCCTCCATCCTGGACTGCTTAAGTCCCAAGCCCACATCCCTGTTTTGGAAGAGATGAAATTTGGGAAGGGGGATGGAAGGGAAAAAAAAAGTAGAGTAATGAGTGTTCTGTTCTTCTCCTTCTAGACCCCATACCAGCATTTTTTCTAAATTGGTCATCAGACTGGGAGTCACAATGCCAGAAGTCCTAAGTCAACACCACAACCTCCCTCCCATACCTGGGCTAAATATCCGTGCATTACCCATCGTCTCCCAAACACCTCTCTCTCTCACTTTCTTCCGTTCCCCTACCATTCCTAAAGTCATGCATGTTGGCGGTTCATCCTACCCACACAGCCCTCCTAAACTCATTCACTTAATTCTCTTCAAATCCGAACTTACTCTACTATTATGTCTCTGATATTTATATTCAATCGAAATGTCACGACGCTCATTTCTAAAAGATCTAGCCCTACCTATCTGTCCAGCAAACTCGAAGTAAGCCTTCAGCGGATCAGGATGTCCTTGTTCTCACCTACTCAATCCTACCTCCTGCCAGTTACCACTGCCTTTTCCAATGCCAAACCCCTAACTCTACTTTTTGGAAAGTCCTGAGTTTAGTTGTAGTGGTTTAGTGGTCTTCCTCTTTTTCTCATCCCATCACATACCAAGATATTTCCATTAGGCTCCTCTAAACTACCTTTCTCTCAGGATTCGATTTCTCTGTCCTTGCCACGCCCTGTGCCCCCCGGGGCTACTTACCCCCAAGTTCTCCCCACACTTCAGGCCTCTGGCCCCGCCCTCCCCCCAAAGGAAGGAGGCGGGAGGAGGGAGAGAAGAGGGGCGGCACGCCGCAAGATAAAACTGATCGTTCATTAGCGCTCTTCGCCGTCAATCGTAGCTTCTTTTTCTCTTATTGGTCATTTAGCCTGTGCTCCACCCTCTTCCTCAGACAGGGCCCGGCCACCGCCTCAGCGCCCCCGTCCAACACACTGGGAGGGGAGACCCCGGCCCCGGATGCTAGGACTGGCCATAGTTGAAGGGGAAACTGCTGTCAGGTCACGGACCTGCTGATGTTAACAGGACTTACCCGCCGGTAGCTCCGTCGCCTCCGGCCCACCCGTACTCGGCCCCACAATCTGTCTCCAGCTCCTCCTTTCCCCCCTCAGCGGAGCAGATACTTTCCTCCTGTCCGGCCGGGCGCTCTCATCTCTCGCGAGAAATGGGAGGGGGGGCGAGATTCGTAGGGGCTGAGTTGGAAAAGGACTGAGGGGGTGGGGCTTACTGTGGGCAGAGCTCGGTTGGAAGGCCCAGGGAATACTGTACACATAAGCCACACGTGTTGGACTGTAGAATAGGGGATGGGATGGGGAGATGAGGAGAGAATCTTTAGCCGTGCATGTACAGGAGATCCGAAAGGTAAAGCAAATGGTGATGGTGAATCTTTTCGAACTAAAAAACAACCGACTGTGTCGCGCTTGTCAGTAGGTTAGCCACCACTGCACTAGGGAATGACATTATGTCACGGAGCACTTTAAAAACAACATAAGATTATAGCGCAGGGCTGGGGGTTTAGCTCAGCGGCATAAGTGCCTACTTTGCAAGCGCGCGGTCGTGAGTTTGATCCACAGTACCAAAAAAAAAAAAAAAAAAAATTACACCGCAGTAAAACTTGGGAGGGAGATAAACAAACGACATTAAGGGAACTCAGGATTCCAAACATGTGAGTAGTTGCATTTTCGTCTATATTTACAGTACAGTGCCTTAAATTCTGCTCTGGGTGACTATATAGGAAACGGTGAGGAAATGAAGGCGGGAGTGGTAACAGTTCAGCTTCAGGAACTAGCTGAATGGTTTGTTTGTATGTATGTTTGCTCTTTTTGCTTTACTGGGGTGAAACGTAGGGGTGCTCCACCATTGACATTCTCCTGCTTCAGCCTCTCCAGTAGCTAGCATTACAGGCACGTACCACTGTACCCTTCAGGAACTGGCTTTTTTTTTTTTTCTAATATGCAGGTTGTTTTTACTGCCATGAAGAGTCAGCACTTCCACGGCCTGAAGGGCATAACATCAGTTTTATCATAAAGACACATTATTGTGGGTGTAGAGTACTCATATTTACTCTTTAGGATAGTTCTTGTGAATTATTAATTTACTTTTATGAGCTGTAGTATGTTAATGAGTAATTAATAGGAAAATATCGCAAAAATAAAATTTTGCATTTTGATATTGTTTATAAAAAAGCATCAGAATTTTCTGTAATTTCACTTTATACTGTTTTTTGGTGTACAAAGTCTAAAAAAATAACAAATTCCTATGTGAACTATAATGAACATACCAATAGAACTCTACAAAAAAAAATCATTACTGGGGCTGGGGATTTAGCTCAGTGGCATAAGCACCTGCCTTGTAAGCAGGCAGTCGTGAGTTCAATCCCCGGTACCGATAAAAAGAAAAAAGACAAAAAAAAAAAAAATCGTTACTTCAATTATCATACCTTAAAGCAGTTTTCATTATGTGATCATAGCATGTTCCATACACAAGGATTGCTTACACTGACAGTACTTGTGTTTTGCTTTCATGGCTTTTTCAAAGGACATAGTTGACATCTTGATAGTCTTGTTTTGTCAGGAGGTTCTTATATAATAAGTAGGAACATAAACTATCAATAAAGTATTAAATTTACATGTATTCTGCATTTAAACATCAACATTTTCACATCAGCTGTGTACTTGCTTATAAAACATTGAAGATAGCATCAGAAATGAATTCCTGTATGAATTAGAATGAAAATATCAATAGAAGAAAAATGTTTGCTTTAATGGTCACACCCAAGACTGTCTTCACACAGAACAACTGCATAGGGGCTAGGGATTTAGCTCAGTGGCATAAGCGCCTGCCTTGCAAGCAGGCAGTCATGAGTTCGATCCCTGGTACCGATAAAAACAAAAAACACAAAAAAAAAAAAAAAAAAAGAACAACTGCATATTCCATCCACAGATTTCGTTTACACTGACAGCACATGTGTTTAGCTTTCCTTTCCTTTGTAGAAGGCCTTTCTTGTCACTTCTCTTATTCTTTCAGGAGCTCCTTACTATATTGTGCAATATGTACTTAGCAAGAAAATAAGATACCAATAAAATATCAGTGGTGGCACATAACTAACCTCAGCACTTTTGAGACTGACGCAGGAGGATCATTGCAAGTTTGAGACCCGCTTGAGCTACAAAGTGAGCTCAAGGCCAGCCTGAAGTGTATAGTGAGACCCTGTTTCAAAAAGAAAAAAGAAAATCAAACATGAATACTTAAAATGGACAGCAATATTTTCACATCAGCTATTTATTTGCTTACAAAACCTAAAAGGTAACATCAGAAATAAAATCCTATGTGAGGACTAGGGATTTAGCTCAGCAACATAAGCACCTGCCTTGCAAGCATGCAGTTGTGAGTTTGATCCCTGGTAAAAAAAAAAAAAAAAAAAAAAAAAGCCTATGTGAACTACAACGTAAATACAAACACAAAAAGAAAAAAAAAAATACAAACACAAGGCCACCACAGAAATAATCTTTGATTCGACTGCCACACTCAAGGCAGTGTTCACACATGAAAACTGCATGTTCCTTGCGTATTGCTTATTGCTGATAGGATATATGTTTTTCTGTTGTTTCCTGTAGGATACAGCTCACATCTTTTTGGTTTTCTGTTGTCATAGGAGCTCTTTGCAATGCTGCTCCTGCCTGTTCACCTGTCAGCTCACCAGTGTGCTCCATAATTTTTTTGCATAGTTCTCAGGGCAGAAACATTTTTTTTCCTCTGCTATAAATCATATCTTACAAGTTCCAGTCCAAGTCTGCTAAGAAAATTTCTCTGTGGTATTTCACACTTGTTACTTTCTTTGTAAACTAAGAAACTATACCATACATGTTTAGGCTCCAGTAAAGCACAACCATTGGCCAACACTTTGTGTTTTGAGTGACATCATAATTGCTGCAAGACTCATCGACAACATCTCTGACTTCATTTTTGTTGTAGAAAGTTACCATCTCAGATTTGTTTTGTTGAGCATTCTCTGTCAATATTTCCATCATAGTGCAATATTGACATTAGCAGTACCAGTTTGATTTGCCATATATGATACTGATGCTATATCTTTCTGAAATTCAAAGATTGTACTATACAATTCTCTGTTTTGAAATTGCAACATATTTGGAATTTCTGCTTTGTTCCTGTGTACAGTTCCTGTGCTGGTTAACTTGTGCTCTGTTAGCAAGTGTGATATCAGTTGGAGATTGGTAAACCAATTGTGGAATGTCATATTCAGGTTAGTTTGGGAGATGGGAGCAACAAGTCTGTTCACAACTGATAGAATTTTCGGCGTGGCTAAAAAGATAAGAAATATGAAGTAAAAGTGGTCTTTATTTTAAGAATGTGGAGAGAGGCTCCATGACCTCCAGGGTCTGGTATTCTCTCTGCCTCACACATGGTGTGGGGGCATACATATACCTTAGGTTTGGGGTGATGCCTAAAGGGCATTATTGATGCACAGGTAGCCCATTAGAATTCATTTCGCACCACAGGTAAATTGCCTAGGGGTGGGAAAGGTGACCTCACAATAGAGCCCCTTGGTTCTGCCTCCCAGCCTCCCACCACTGCAGCTTCCCATCCAGGGCAAAATCCTTTCAATAACGTCACTTGGCTTATTGTTATATAAATAAGGACCTGGTGGTTGAGTTCGGGGATAAATTATTAACTTGAAAGCGTAGTAAGTCTTCAGATCTACAAGGGCATACATTTCATGCCATATTTTGAAGGTTTTGGGGGAATATACTGCCTGAATCTACAATGACCGTGAAATGCTACAAGACGTACATCGATAGTCATGTATTTAGATGGTGTGTAAATTGCTTGATATTACTCACAGATTTCTCAAACTATAAGAAGACAGCAGCCGGGTTATCAGTCCTTTTTTCTTGGTGGGTGGTTTTGTCATTAAGCCTCAGGTAATTTTGAAGGAAACCAGACCTCCTCAGTGTCACTGTTATTATTCAAGCCCACATCCATTGCTTTTCCATTGTGTTTTACATTCCTGAGATTACCAATGGAAAACCCTGTTAAGTACAGCAGACCTATGAATGCTTTTGATATAGGGGAACGAAACTCCTGACCTACTATATGTCCATATGTCCGGAACCAGTTTGTATGCCCTAAAATTCAAGAATGAATTATAGGAATGACGGAGGTTAAGAGCAGAAATACTTATTGAGGGAAAGAAAGCTTCTGCCTGAAAGAGAGACAGAAGGGGTTCAGGGTGGGTTGCCAAAGATTCTGTATTTTGTAGGGACTTTTATAGAGAAAACCATGAGGTTAGGTGGGTCTAAAATTGGGGAAAACTGGGACCTCTCAAGGCAGATGGGCATGAGGTGGGACAGAGCTACGGTCAACCAATAAGTTGAATTGTTCAGGTAAAATTGACCAAATCAGGGACAAATGGCAAGCTAGTCACGTAGTATTCTTTATGGATCAGTGACTCTTCTATAGAGGGTTGGGATGATCCAGGTGATGCAGACTTAATACCTAAGGATTTTACTTGAGTGTGGTTGCGTTTGTTTTGCCTTCTGTCCCGAGATGTGATCCACAGCAAGAGGTGTCTATCTCATGCTTCCCATCTCCTAGATTGGAGAAATAAAAGACAAGGTGCTATCGGGAGGCAGATCACTATCATAATTAAAGGGCCCAGGAGACATAGAAGGAAAAGTGCCCTTCATTCGAATGTGTTGTTCCGTGTTCCGTCAGGGCCATGGTGAGGAAGAATCGGAAAAATAAGTGTGAAGTTGGGAGGGGTAGAGTTACAAGAGGTAATTATTCCCCCATCTGAAAGGGTAAAAGTGTAGGTAGGGTTTGTCTTTGGTCTAGGGGTTGAGCTGGAGAGAATAGGAAGCATGAGAAATGTAAGGCCTGACAGTTGAATCATGTTAGGGAAATTATAAACTAAAGGTGGGGAGGTCTGTGGCTGTGTCACTATAAGTGACATGAGATCCTAGACATACAGGTGTCTCATGTTTAACTAAACAGCAGAGGGCAGAGAGAACTAAGATAGTTGTTATGTAAAACAGCATGAAAACAATTTTATGTATAATATGGGAGTCTTTAGGAAACACTGCCCAGAATCCTACAGTGAAAAAAATTACTGATAGAATGTAAGAGATCAGGAACAAAATAGGATAACAAAACATGACTTAGCCTGGAAGTTGTGGCTGTTAGATGGAGATGGGAGAAAGGAGATGAGATGACCAGGATGTTGAGAGTCAGGGGAGTTAGGGTTAGGAGAGCACCAACAGCTTGAGTGATGTGGAGCCAGGATGACAGTCCAGTGGTCTTGACTACCGTTGAAGTTCCAAGGAAGACCAGGTAGGGGCCAC